ACATTTCCATTTCTGGTATACTAAAGGATATACAAGACCAATAAAAAGTTGTGGGACTAGGTGTCCTGCACTATATCTATAATAATAAAAAAATAGAGCAATTTTGCAGATCACTGGAAATAATTGAACAAAGTGAAATAAAAATAACTCAAAATTTTATTATCACAATCACTTTTGTGTATTAAGCAAAAATCAATTTTCATAATAATTCCTTGAAATTTATAATGTTTTGTTCACAATTAATAATTTCATTAGCTTTAAAAGTCAAAGTAAAAAATTTTCAATTGATAACAAAACCTAATTGTCAAGTTTTAACATGTCTAGATAATATAATAAAAAATGTGCGCCATGCTTTGAAATATATATATATATATTGATCGAATAATACATAATACAAACATTTATCAAAATTGTTTTTCACAAAAAATCATATATTTAAATCAGATGACTAAAATTAGAGAATTATCTGTTGTTTGAGCATGCAGAGGTAATTTGTGCTTGGAAATGTGATGTATGCAAGTCAGAAATAAGCAAAAGACTTGGGATACCATTGTGAACAATATATAATATTATAGAAAAACATAATAAAGAAGGAACTGTTGGAAAGGGAGTTAGGAAATGTGAGAATATTCCTAGAAATAAAGATGATCGTTTTGCTGCCCTGGAAGAAAAATGGTACCAAATTGACATAGAGACATTGACAAATTTAGTTGATAGTGTGCCTAGGAGAATAGATGCTATAAAAAAATCTCAAGGCTATCCAATTAATTATACAAAATTGATAACCCAAAAATTTCGCATTTTTAATTTTTTTTTATTTCTCAATAAAATATTTCTACTTTAACAATATAAATTATTATGTTACATGAAAAATGGATTTTCCACCATGCTTACAAAGAGAAAATAATGTTGGCGTGTAACATTGTACAAGGAGAAAAAATATTATTAATAAGATTTGGCTATTTTTATTAGGGAATTGCTCTTTCTCACCGGTGGTGATTGTCACCACCTAAGGAATTATACAATTTATGATTAACCCCAACCCTAACTCCGCCCCACGCAAATTTAATTCCTTAGGTGTGACAATCATCACCGGTGAGAAATACAGTGCAGATCATCTATACTCCAAAGTTAAAATTTTTGAAATATTATGTGATCCACACATTGGGTTTTAAAAAACTTACCACCATTCAATTCAGCTTTAAAAGGGGTTTAAATTTGAAAGTTATGCTCAGAAGTGCAACAATATTTTGAATCTCACGACCAAATTTGGTAATGATTTTCTTTTAATGTAATATGTTCGTTAAAGTTTTTTGTTGTAAATAACTTTTATTTATTAATAAAAAAAGGAAATAAATAAATCAAATAAATCAAATAAATCAAATGTATGTCGTAGAAAATATTATTATATGAAAAAAAAAGTTGTTACACGAAATTTACTCAGTCTCAATTTCTTAAATGTATAACAAAATTCGGAATTTTCAAAATGCTAAGGCTTAGCCAATTTTCAGTTTAAGAAAAAACCAGCCGATAAGTTTTGAAGCCTGAGTCATGAAAAATAAAACTTATTGGTTAAATTTTTTAAAATGATATAATTTTTTTTTGTTTTAGTATTTTGAAGTTGACCAATTGTTACTATAAGCAATAGTACATCCCATATTAAATTTAACAAATTCTTTTGTCGTTCAACGTCTCGCTCGGCTTTTATTCTATTTGTTCAAAAATTTGCATCAGGTCTGGATCAGATCTTACAAATACATCTTAATTTCCGGTTTTATCAAAATAATCAGGCTCCCCTCCTTCTCGTTGTGATATGATGATAATTACTCTAATCCTTGATGTTGATGAATTGTTTAAGGCAGAATATGTAGACCTTTTCAATAGAATACCGAAATCATGGTTTAAGTTATTACCACTTTATATGTAACTCTTTAGGTAGGACGTTTTTGGCTTAGAAATTATACCCACTTTGTATAACCTTGAAGTTTCAAAAACGATGGCAAAATCCGTTTAAATCTTTGTTGTCTCTATATTGAAATGGCCCATGTAATGTGTCAATTAATTTTTCATAAATAGACGATATATTATCATTATCATTATCATTATTCGTGTGTATGAATTTAAAGTCCACACAGATTTCAAATTCACTTTTCACTGTGACCAAGTCATTTTAACTTAATTTATTAATTTTAGCTTCAACCACTTCATCAGCTATGGCTTTATTTATCATCGATTTTGGTAAAAATATTGGTAGTTCCTGTGGAGAATTTTTTCTTTGACAATGCAATCACTTGTTTCTAAGTTGATTTTTAATATAAAACTTTATTACAAAGTTATTTTACAAGTATGTCGAATTTAAGCTTCTTTATATAATGATATTAATTAGTAACAACAATACAAAACAAAACCATTCACACACATCTGCATAATTAATAAACCCTTTAAAATTGTTGATAAACTCACTGACACTTTAATACATGATGTGGAAATGAACTGTCGGTAAAATGAACTGTCGGTGAAGTGAACTGTCAGTAAAATGAACTGTCAGTGAAGTGAACTGTCGGTAAAATGAACTGTTGGTAGAGTGAACTGTCGGTAAAATGAACTGTCAGTAAAATGAACTGTCGATAAAATGAATTGTCGGTAAAATGAATTGTTGGTAAAATGAACTGTCAGTAAAATGAACTCTCGGTAAAGTGATTTTCGGTAAAATAATATGTCGGTAAAGTGATTATCAGTAAAGTGAATGCATCCTAATTTTTGCAATAGATGTAATGGAACGAACGAAATATGCAAAGAAGGTTGTAAACATGGTAGCAACTACAAAAAAAACATTTTTTATATTTCTTTGTTCAAATAATTATTTATTTCCTTGATTAATAGGAAAATGAAACAGGAAACCGTGGTCATTAGCAACGTTAACAAATAGTCATGATTTATGTAATGGTATTTCTAGTCCATTGAATTCAGAAATTGAAGGTTTGCAAGTCAATGAAATACAATCACAAAATAAAAATAAAAGTAGCATTTCTGTAAATCTAAATAATGTCAACAGTTGTCATAATAACAATAACTTACTATTTTATTGAAAAAGTAAGTGTCTTTGGAATTGATACCTTTTCTACTTATCTAAGAAATGATGTAAATTTAAATCAAAGAAATTTTTTTTACATGACTTCATTCTAAATTTAGATAATGAAGAGCTTGCATTAGTGTTAGAGTTCATGTATTCAGGCAAGAGATATCTCAAGCGTAATTAAGCTTTTTTTATTAGCACTCAAAATATAAATTAAGTTAACTGAATGTTATTAAAAAAAATAATAAAGTAGCCCTATTGTATAGATAAGGAGAAAAAGAATTATATGAATTAAGAGGATAAGTGAATAAAATTTACAATGCTTTTTGTGTGATAATATACTGTAATGTAAAGGTTTTTTTCTTTTAGTTTTTTTATTGTTGATGATGATGATTATAATAAGGAGGACCCTGCTCTCCAATAAATGGTTTTCCAACTTGAGATACATCAATAGGAGAAGCATCGAGTTGGTAATTACCAACATTTGCTATATTTGCATTTGAGATAGATACTGTTTTCAAGTAATCCACATATTGTTTATTTATTGGTGTAGAACTATTGAATGAATCTAACGAACCGTGCATTAACAAATGATGGAATAGTATTGGATCTACTTCACCTCCATAGTTATCATTAACTATATCAAGATCAACATTTGTAGTTAATGCATTAGGACCAAGCACAAAATCACTAATGTTTTCAGGTGGAATTTGAATCTGAATTTGGTGTACATTGTATCGATTGGGGATGTCAAAAAAGCTGAACGGAGCTTGAATTGGTGAATCAGTCAAGTTGCTACTTCGAATGACAGTATTGTTATTGTTAATGTCGTAAGTATCATGCGAAAATGTGAACGAATATGAAGGTGTTGGCAATGTACTTTGAAAAGATGAGGAGGGCGTCAATCTATTATTGTTATTGTTATTTCCGTCAACACCAACGCCTTCATGGTTGAGTAAATCTTTCATGACATCGTTAAATTTGTTCAATCGTTTTATCCTAGGTTTTCTAGTTTTCTTCTCAACTCCATTGTTTGCGATTTTTTTGGGGGATTTTTCCTGTCCATTAAGCATACCTTGGGACGGCCACACGAAACATTCGGCGGAATACGAATGCAAATATGACCCTTTTCTTCACAGTTATGGCATGAATGCTTTTGGTCATCGCATTTTATATGACGTTTCTTACAACGAGAACAAGCGGTTGTTATATAAGTTCTTTCAATTTCATCGCCTTCATCTGAATTTTTTATTATATCAATCGCTTCACTGATCGTTGGTGGAATACCAAGACAAGCAGTTGTTAGTCCTTCATTTACATTTTTTGTATCGAGCATGATGGCCAAATTGTCCGTTTGATGATTCTTTTGTATCTTTTTGTTTGTTTTTTAATTAGATAATTCGAGGTTTTAATTGAAAATTTGGTTTTATTTTTATTTTAGGTTTTTTTGTTTTTTTAATTAATAGAGAAATGAAATAAATGAAAGCGAGAATTTATATTAACATTAATTCGCAGATCGTAGATATTTAGGGGATTCTATTTGTAACACAATTTCTTGATTGAACGATCCATTTTATCAAATTGAGTTTCCAAAAATGATTTTTTGCCTTTTTTTTAGTTGCACAGTTTACTATGTTGACCCAGATTGGTATGTTGAATATGTTAGCAAATCTCCATAGAATTAGGTTTTCCATTTATTCTAATCAATCGAATAATTTAATTTCTCTAAAGTTTTGATTCTATGATTTGATTTCTATTTTTACACAATCTCATTTAGCGATATTGTATTTGTCAAG